CCGCAGCGCTTTACGAAAAGGGACAGCTCGAAGTTACACCAGAGCCTCTGAAATCAAGCGGTGCAGTTCTGTGCGCAGGCTTGGATAGCAACCCTCACTTCGGGCACTCAACCCTGAACCCTGCCGAGGTGACTTCCACTCTGAACGTGAAAACTCGCGTGCCTCCTGAGTGTGGACTTAGAACTCCATACACCCAAGGAGAAGTTGATTCCTGAACCTCAAGGCTCTATGCCCTCCGGAGTTAAGGTCTCTGACTCCAGTTTTGCACCCTTCTCATTCTGTTCCAAACACAACACCCAAACCCCTGTTCTCAGTCTCCTTTCAAAGTACGTCTCGCTCCACAGCACCAGCAGCTGCTTGGAGTTTGTCACAATGGCGGGAAGCTCCTGACTCTACTTCCCACTGGGGTGCTGGAGGTTGCTAAAAGCTAATTCTTTATGAGCACAACCCGCTACCCGGCTGAAAATGGCTCGTCTTGTGAACCTGCCAGATTAAAGTACATGTCGGCACAGTCTTTCCAAAAGTAAACTTCTGCATGTACTATGGCATCAGAGCGATCTGACCCATAAGAGTGGATAATGAATGATCAGGATGCTTGGATTGGGACGGCTTAGCTGCTCAGCAGGTGCAGGGCAGTGCTGGGTGCAGGATCTGATGGTTTTGTGCTTACTGGGAGTAGCTTCCCGTCGCGTCCGAGCGTCTGCGATGCCAAGACGCTTCGTTTCTTCACTGGTTTGGTCAATACAGAGACGGTCCACCCACAAAGTCGGCGCCCAGAGTCCGCCGGTGAGGTGCTGCCCAAAAAAGAAGACCACGAAGAAGCCTGAATTGCCCGAGCGGTTGAAGACATTCAAGCGCTGGAATCTTGCTCTTGAAGACATGTCTGGGGTAGGATGCGCAAAGCTCACAGTTCATTTGGTGCAGGTGAACCTATTCAGCAGTATGGCTGCCCGTCAAGCTTGCTTGTGTAGGATTTCTTCACTGGCCTTAAACCTTAAGCTTCAATCCGTCAAAAGCTGAACAAACTGAGAAACAAATCACTGGCATGTCCAGCAGGATGAGAAATGTGGCATTTGCCGTCACGCTCGGAAAGAAAGGCAGCAAACCCTGGGCGGCAGGCTTGTTCAGCTGGCTATGGATCCTAACCTCCTAGGTCCTGGCGACCCTGTGCAGGTTTGGGACGTAGGTGCTTAGGGATCGAACCAGGGTTGTGATATCCACAATTTACGGATTGAGGGCTTCTGTAGGCTTCCCGAAAGCATTATCATCTCCAACTGCAGAGCCTGTCCTTCGTACTGACATCCTGAAGCACAAGGACACGACGCAGCGCACCAGCAGCTCTATGCAAGACACAAATCTTTTCTATGATTTTACGTAAAGACTTAAGTATGCAAAGGCTGAAGGTTGCAATCCGGCTATATTTTCCAAGGCTAGATCTAAACCAATCGCATCATCAGCACCCTAAACAACCCCTCTGCAGGTGATCTAGAGTGCTGAACCCCAAGCACCCTTAACCTTGAACCCCAAACTGTCCTGAGATATCAGGACGATAGCCACAGTGCACCGCAGAGCCAGGTTGAAGTTCCTTGCTTGTTTCAGTCTGGGGTGATTCTAGGGTGCAGGGTTTAGGGGTGATACTGTTGTTACTTCAAACCTGCTAAAACCCTGCATGACCTTGGCATGCTGAAATCTTCTTAGTTGGAAACAGAGCCATATTGACAGCATTTCGACCCGGATGTCAATGCCTCTAGGCACTTTTCTTATAGAAAACTTGATGTCAGGACCCGTCAGCCCGATAGCCCTTCTTCAGGAGATAGAAAATGCATGCGCAAGGGGAGGAGGGCAGCTAATCTGGGGTTCCCAACTATGCAAACTCTTATCTACTTAGCTGGGCAGGGCCACCAAAAACGTCTACCCTAAACCCCAAATCGTCGAGTCGCAGGAAGAAGCACATTGCCAGGTGCTTCCCTATTCGATCGGCTGTCCAGGCATGGCTCACCTCAATGCCAGGAAGATACGGGCGTTGCCAGCAACAAGGCACCGTAGGAGCGTTGGGGATGTATAGGGATTAGAGCGCTGCCGCTGCCCACTAAGATTGTGAAGGGGAAGGCTTCGAAGATGCGTAATCCGTACAGCGCGTGTTCATCCACGTTTGACTTAATGAGTGGCTGACCAGGCTTAAAAAAAAATGATGGGCAGCTATCAACGTTAAGTCTCTTCCTTGATAATAAAACCCCTTGCGAACACCAATACCAATACTCTCTGGGAACGAGTCTTGCCATGTAGTCAGGAGAAGAGTGCAGAGGTTGGGCGTGGATCCTGATCTTACGAAGTGTTCCTACTACAGCTGTACTTTTGTTGGATAGGATGCCCACGTTGCAGACCTCATGGAACGAGACTGCTCTTCCTAAAGGGAAACGCCGGTTTGCCCAATTGAAAACTTTGCGGAGTACTTCTGAGCTGTGCCGCTGCGAATGAGATTCCAGGACAAAGGCTAGATGTTTTGATTCTAGAGAACAAGGATCATAGGCCTTTGGCTGCTTAGAGACACCCTACACTTTGGCAGCTAGCCAAGTCAAGTGCTCCAGAGGTGATTGCACCAAAAGTCTCCGGAATCATGCTGACAAAGCCAGCAACCGCAAAAGGAGCTGATGATTCTTGAGAAAACTCTATAAGGTTAGTGCTAGCTGTAATAGAATTCGTCGTAGTAGTAGTGGTAACGGTAGGAGGTATCATGCCGCTACTACTAAAACATAACAACTTGAACAGCAAACTACCTACTGCCCGCACTGCTACTACTTCTAGTGCTACTACTAACTGCCAACTATTACCTGCTACCTACTTTAATTCTACTCCTCCAATAATGTTACAGGAGCACTGGTGCTAGTATTTATCTTGTTCTTCTTATTTGCAATAGTAGTCGAGTTGTTGTTGTTGCTGTTGTTGGCTGTTGGTTGTTGTTGTTCTTGCTCGGTCTTCTTCTTCTTCTTCTTGCTGCTGCTTTTTGGACTCCTGTAAGCTGTCGATCACTAAGCTGTTCCTGGCAGATTCCATATGAGCACCCGCGCCCAAACCATGATTACGCCCACTTTCGAGAACATCCGGTTTCCAGAGCACCCATGCCCAAACCATAAGCACCCCCAGATCCTCACTTGAGCTTGGATAGCATCCTGAGGACTTCCTAATTGCACTTGAACCATCTACTACTGCATGCAGAGAACGACACCCGTCCAGCTCCAAACAAGAGCACTTGTAGAATGGCTGAAAGCTTCCATGATTTTAACAAGGTGCCTCCTCCTCCTCCTCCTACTACTACTACTACTGCTACTACTACTACTACTACTACTACCACTACCAGGACTACCGCAACTCCTACTCGCACTTGTTGTTGTACTTATGGTTGGAACAGCAGCAAGGCACGAAAACATCCACACCACGCGCAGCATCGCTACACTCCAACACTGCGTCTGCAGGAGCCGATGAGCTAGCCCATACCTTGAGGTTTAGGGTGTGTGGGTCAGGTTCTCAATGGTTTGGACTTAGGGCTTAGGGGTCGGAGAGAAGAAAATGAAACTTTAGAATTTACGACTCAGGGCTCAAAGAATAGTTTAGGGTCCCGTACTTTGATTTGCCGTTGCTCAGTCAGGCATGACTATGTTCAGAATAGAACACGGAAACTACTACATTCTTACGGCGCAAGGTTTCGTTTTAGGCAGCAATCACCAATGAGTTGATGACGTGGGGCTCCAAAGGAATGGTCTGCTAATTGCTGCGCCCCTGACATCATAGGTATTTCGGCGGGGAAATAGGTCTAGGCTTCCCAAAGACCAACTGCCAAACTGTTGCCTCTCTCCTGCCCCTTACACTGCACCCACCCCAACCGGAAATCTTGAACTGCCGTCACCCAAAACCGCTATCAGATACCTGGCCAAGCTTGGAGAGCACGACCAGTGCTGAGCTGACGCGAAAAAGTCCCATTGAGTAGAGTTCGGACACACGGCGTTGAGCCCTCCATTGCATGGCTGGGCCAAAGGGGGGAAACAGCACGCCAAACACGCACCGTTCAAAGGCAAATGAACAAAGAAACGCCCTGACTCGTCATCCAACGTGAACCCCGTACCGATTTGCGCCCCATGTGGCGTTCATATCAGAATCGATACCTATCCGCACTTTTTATGCATATACAAGCTGCTCCGGGCCACCAGCAGGGGCTTGCTAAAGGTACCCGGCACCGAGTCTGGGCCAAACGAGCTTCGCACTGATGACATGTCAATTCTTGTCAGCGTGTCTTCGCAGCAACAATTACTATCAAGCTGTGGGGCTTGCAAAGAAGAAGCTACATGTTGCAGGCAGAAGTGCCAAAGTGTAGGTCCATTTGGAAGTACAAGGCGGTCGGCACTGCCGCCAAAGCAAAAAGGATTGACATGATCAGGCGAACTCCAATTGGAATTAACCATTACCCCAAGAGGACACCGCCCTTCATCTTCATGACTGGTTCACTTCTTACTCGTAGTCTAACCTAGATCGAGTGCTCGCCAGTGGCTGCTATACGTCCACATAAAGGTATGTCACTCCAACCCGAAGAAAGGCTCAGGCAGGTTCACACCAAAGTCTGCCTAGTAGCTGCAAGGAAGCAAAACTAATCCTTGGCAGCAGGCCGAAACAGTTCCATGCTTCTTCACCCTGCTATGCTGATTGGCTTGGCTTGCGTTGAAGTCCTGCTCTCATGAAATCACGATGACAAAGCACTAAACAGGATTTACTTGGCAGGATCCAGGGAAAAGTCTCCGTATTCTCTACTTCGATGCCTGCTCAAATGCTACAAGCTTCTCTTCAATATGCCAACCGGGAACAGAACTTCAACAGGGCCTCACTCGGTCTTTAATGCCTACCGTCTGTTGTAGCTTGGTTGCATGTGGGTAGTTGTTAGAAGGGAGATGCCCTTCAAGACCCGCAACTGTAGTTTCCGTATTAGGGGTGCTGTTCTTTATCTGACGCGCCTCGACGTCGAGTGCTCTCCGCCGTGGTCTCCTCTGTGCTCCACAAGCTAAGGATCCTGGCAGGGAGGTTGAGGAATTAATATCCCCAGTAAACTGAATAAACAGGGCACCCTTGTTCGTATAAGTTAGTCAGGATCTCAAAAAGGTGACAAGTGGCCTGTTGGGAGAGAGTTTAGCTATAAGGCATACATCCCAGAAAGGCTAAAAGGGCTTTACAGAGGAAGCCAGTGAACCTAGGCCTGGAGACCTGAGTTTAGGGTCTTGGAGTTCAACGTAGACTTTGGAGCTTTCAAGGGCTTGCAAATGTTGATATTCTTACAGTTATTAGTAATGACATGCTAAACCTCAAACCCCGAGCCCTGCAGAACTGCCGAGTAGCTGGTCGCAAGGCGTTGGCGTTCCGCTCTGCGCTTTTCTTTAAGACGAATGAGCTCCGCCTAAAGGATTTGGGGTTGCGGGATGAGGATTTAGGGTTTGTAAGGTTCTTCTGCGGTGTTTACGCAAACGGACAGCGGAGAACAAGAGGTTTGAGGTATGTGCCCCGGATTACATTGTGTGGGCTGCAGAATCTATTGCTGGGATTTTTTGGGGACTAGTTTTCAGGGTCTTGAAGCTTAGGGTTGAAGATTCTAGGAATTTCATGAGGTCCCAGAATTTTCTTGTGTTTCCCTTCGGGGGTGTTTAGGGTTTAGGTCTAAGGGGCTGAAGGGCCTTAGGGTGCCAGGCTGGAAAAACGATCATGCAACCTTTCTGGTAGGATGTGGGGTCTTGGGCGTAGGTGTCTTCGTGGGCCAGTTACATGTCCATGTCCTTAACTTGCTAGGAGATCCGTCCCCAAGCTGCAAATTTTTTGCTTGCACCTACTTGGGCTCTCTTGTTGGCTTTGTTGCGCTTTGTAGAAAGGAATGCAGGGCCGCCATGAGCAATCCTGCTTGGAATTCGGGAATACCCTTGCAGCAAGCCCTAGTTGCCCTAGTTCCCTGTGTCGAGCAATGACCATGAGAAACGAGCTGTAGTCCCCATGAAGAGCAAGCCTTGAAGTGCTCCAGCTCTTGCTCCAGCAGTTGAAGCGCCCTTGGCAGATGTCACGTTTTCATTTCCATCTTCAATCGGGAGGGCACTCCTCAACCTGCAACACCAAAAGCCCCGGAGAACCCAGAAGCTAGATGGAGACACCACACTTTTCCGACTGACTTGATCAAGTTTAGCCTGAGGCACCCCGAGCTGTTCTGTGACCCCTCGGCCATTCTGAGGTCTCCCTATCTGGTCCTTGAATCCTTGATGTCAGCGGCCAGTCCTTCAGAATTGAACAAGGACAAGGTCAGACTGGCTGAGGCATTGCAGCCGTAGGCCTGGCTTTCATCAGCAGATCCTGCTGCCAAAGTAAATATGCAACTTGAATGGTGTAACCCTGTTGGTGGGCACCGTTCAGGTTCCCCAAAACTTTGGACCTTCATGCCAGTCTGCATCTGGTTCATGTTCGGTGAAAATTCATAAGCCAGCCCACCTGCCCAATACTCGCTCATGTAGCATTTCCACTCATGATGCTGAAAAAACAAATGGAAGCTATAATCTTATGTGCTATTTGGCACTTGCAGCCCTCAGAACTGAAAGACATGACATGTATTGTTCAGCTGAGTCGCTGGGCCTGCTGCTCAATGAGCTGCCACTGCTCCTGCGCCTGGTGGTCGCTGTTGGGGTATGAGGTTTCAAAGACAAAAAGAAACATTCTAGATCAAAATGCCTCTCACAGTTGTATAGGCTGCTGGACCCCTCCTTCAAAGCTCGGGTGTGGCAGAGCTGCAGGGGTTTTCAAAAGGAATATTCGTGGCACGATGCCTGTGAAGTCCCAACTCTCCATTCATCCCGAAGACTTGTGAGCAGCCATTGGGATACTGCTACTACTAGTAACTCGTACTACTATCCTTATGACAATAGGCCTCTCCTCCTCCTCCTCCTGCTCCTCCTCTGCCTGCGGCACCTCATGCTCCAAACTTTGAGTTTTCCCCCAGGGGATTTCAGCCCAGCAATCTGGTCCACCGCGTGAAAGTGAATGTAGTCTTGCATGCAGCAAGCAATTTCAGTCCTATGTCTTGTCGCCGGGGCTAGCTGCGTAAACGCGCTCTGTAGGCACAATAGCCTGTCCCCTTGTGGAGCTAGCAGACACATGAACTACAGCATGCCTGTGAACTGCCACAGACATGTGCAGAACTGCAGGACTTCATTTTCAAAAGCCGTCCAGAAGCTGGCAAGCCCTGATGTTTCCACCCTCTCACTCTAGACCCTGACTGCTTGGGACTGCAAGACAGGCCTGCATAAGCGATGCAACAAGCAAAGCAAAATTCAAAGGGCAACCCTGCCGAGGCCTGCGTTTGGGTTGGGGGTGCAACAGCCAACAGCTACTTGATCCACTCTGCTACAGTTCTTGCAATTTCTTGGAATGAGATGTCTAGAATTGCTTTGATCGCGCTGTTACGCCTCCAGGGTGCCATGAAAGCTCACGTTTCTGCAGCTATGAGGTCTCTGAGAGCAGAGCGACCTACCACGACGAGATACAACGAGATCACGCGGCCATGCACAAGCCTTCGACCCTACAGCCAGCCCTGCCCTCTGTCACATACCTTCGTCGTACATGCAAGTTGATGCTTTCCGGGGCTTCCAATCCCTGATAGCCTAACAACTGTAATGATCTTTGTAATCATCTGCCTACTTTCCTTAGAGCCGCAGGCTCATCTGCCACGTGTTTGCAACCTCAACCACCTGGATACCAATCGTCAAGCCACCAGAACGTATCGTAAGCTTACGGAAGCTCCCTTGAACATAGAAATGGCACAATAGGACCCGGAAATCCAACGCACAAATGAACCCTTAGCCTTGACATGCAGAAACTTGAGGAGCTCGAACTCTTGCGGGCGAGGGCTGCCCGACTGCCTGTTGAGTCGGAAGGTTTTTTGAGTCTTAAGGTCGGGAGACTTGGCAAGGATTCGGACGGAAGAGACCTTGACTCTGCAAAGCAACAATTCAGCTGAACAGTCTCCATATCAAATGAGTTGGAAACAACAGGACGTCCAAATCGCTAAGGCACCGATTAGAAACAAGCGAGCGAGTTTCGTGCAATCTCCATCAGACCTTCGGAAGTAGATTTTTTTGGCATCCCTCAAAAGGGATCAACAGTATCCAGGCCAAAATTGCCGACTAAACGAGGAGCAGGATGTTTTGAGGAAATTTGATGGCCCTCCTGTCATGACAGGAATTGCAGTTCCAGAGATGCCCAACTTATTGCTATTGCCATTTCCTGCAGAGCAGGTTTCTGCCTAAACAAAAGTCTTGGAAGCTTTTCTGGGAGTCCACCTGCATCAGCTGACCTTTGCCAATTGACTATCGCACTTGGGTGCCCTGTAGGTGGACTAGCACATCATTTGTGTATCCTCTACGGTGGTGGCAGGATGCAGCTTCTGCCAACAAGAAATTGCCCAGAACTACAGGGACAACCGCCGAAGGGCGAAGGGTCTGTTTGCTGCGGCCGCTGCGACCGCCCACCGCCAATGTGACAACGGTTTAGACAAACTGAGAAGCCGGTCTAGTGTTACATGGTAAGAATCAAAATGCGAGTCTGTCAGACCAATGTAATTCTTCTGCACGGGAAATGGATTGGCCGTCACAGTCCACAGCAACCTCCTGGCCTGAACAAAGCTTCGAGGTACTCGCAGCTCGACTTGGGAAGTGCCAGCAGCATCCAAATCAACCGCTGTGGCTGCCTCAGATCTGGGAAATCCTGCATGCCTCCACAGAGACCTTTGTAAAGAGCGCCCCGATGATCCTCTTGTAGTAGCATGGCAAGCTGACTAGTCCAATCTCAGGGCTTCATGCCGTGTAGCATTTTGTTGTTCCTACCCTGCAGTAACTGTGCTGGGGAGGCTTACCAAGTGGGCAGTGCCCAGGATACTTGCTCACTTTGCGGCCTGCAGGACGTCTGAGAGAAAGAGAGAAGAACGCCGCGGACTTTGACCATCCCTAGATTCAAGCATCCCACCGGTTGGATTATGGACATACACCAGAATTGACAACCAAGGCTGAGACTGGGTTGTGCTAAACCCACTCCACGACGGATCAAGACACATTGCGTTACGATCAGGAATCGAGTTTCATTGCAGCACTTGCTCCAAACGTCACCAGTGCAAGCGCTGCAAAAGTAAAAGCCAGCTGCATATGTGCCATAATCTCCCTTGTGCTATCTAGGGAACGAGGCGCTGGTTCCAGGAACTAATCCAAACCATATACCGGGACTACATCAGACTGCTAGAGGGAGCCATTTCCTCAATCTCTACTAAGCACCAGACAGTGACATGTCCTTTTTGGGGGGGACCTACACTGCTGAGTCTAATCTCCGAAAAGTCTGGCGCCTTGATTTCGTGACCTTCATTTAGGGAATCTGGGGCCGGACATGCACATGAAGCTCATACATACAAAAAAAACGTACTTTTGGCAAATGTCCTGTTGGGCGAGGGTCGGGTCTGACTACAAGCTGGAAGTTTGTGCAAGTGCAGTTGCTTCCCCAAGTACGCCAAGCCCAAGCTAGGTGGGTACATGTAAAAACAACTATTTAAGCTGTATCGGAAACTAGAAAGAACTCTTTGTCATAGCTCGGTTAGTTACATAACCGCGTACACCAATCCGCAGATGCTTCATTGTTCCTTGCAGGCTTCGGCTCAGCGACAAAAAAATGTGACTGCTCAAAACCTTGTACTGAGGTCGGTGCAGGTATGATCTTTGCATGACAGATCGCGGCCATCGGCGTGGCAGGGCACCACATGGGAAGCGCGCGAAATCCCAGAAGGTAAGTCTAGATGAAATAGAGTTGTGGCATGTTTCAACTTCGGGGCCTTTTTGTGAACTGTTGGGGGCTTACTGCGTTTTAGACTCTCATATGACAGCTTGCATGCTTAGTCTTGGCTTGAAGTAGTCGATGCTTCAGGTGTTACAGTAAATGCTCGAGGTTGTGCGGGTTGTCACAAGCGTAGCTTAGAAGTCAGGATGAGCAAGACCTGTTCAAACGCCATTATTGCTGTTTAGCTGCTGTGGACGTGGCTTTAGAGCCTCGGAGCTCAGGGGCTTACGGAAGGCGTACAGGAAAAGGACTAGAAGTAGCATCTCTTCGCATGCGTAGTTTGCAGTTGGCCTTCGTGCGGGTACGTGCTCATCTAGGCTCTGCCCAGAACATGCCTGAACACCGGACACCCTAGAAAGGGCTGACAATGTTGAGACGTTCATCAAGACTTCCATGAGGATTTGGAAGTCTCTAAACGAAGAACTCAAAAGTCTCTGTCATGAGATAGGTTCTGGCCATGTGTGACATGCCCACGTCGATGGGAAAGATTGTGGCTGAGAAGTAGAAGGCACCCAGGACATTGAAGCCAAACCTGACCAGTATCTGGACTTTCCATGTTCTTACAAGTAAGTAGGTACCAGCCAGAGACTTTAGACTCCAAAGTGTGCATTAGGTGCTGGTTGCGCAGGCTTTGAACCCCAACTGTTTGAACTTGCGATCCAACGCGCCTCACGGAAAGCTCCCATCCCTCAACTCCTTCACCCTTACACGGATGATAACTCCTTGACCGCTTGGTGAAAGCGCAAACCTTGACCGCTAACCTCCAAGCCGTCAGCCTTAACCCCCAAACCCATTTACCGATTTTCCCGCCATGAAAAGTCTCAACTTCTCAAGCTTCACAACGTGTTTTATAAGGGCTCCATCTGAAAGCACCCTTGTGTTGAGAAATACTTGCATTAGATCTGAACCCGAAAGCCTAAAGCGATGAGAGTCATCGCATATGTCATAGGCAGAAAGTCATACGCCTTGTCCTGCATAGCAGGAAGAACTAAGCCTTTGCACTTCTTTTGTCATCTGCTGCAATTACTCTGCCACCGGCTCATGATGTCGCCCTTGTGGCTGAACCATTTAAGTGTGTGAGTTTCCAAAAATTGTCGGCTGATTCGGGTCTTTGGCTTTTGAGGAATGCTGGATCTACCTGTAGCAGTTTCGGAAACTTTCAATTTCCCTGGCCCCGCAGTCACCTGAGTGGCACAATTATGCAAGCTCGGGGGTCTAGAGTCCAATACAACCCCAATATACTACAGTAGTTTCCATTTTCTTTTCCAGTATCCCCATATAGCCCGAGTTTACTGAAGTAGTTTCCCTTTCATTTTCCATCATCTGGATATAAGCCCAATATAGGATTATGCCACATTTTTTGTTGACTTCTCGGCTTTAGGGTCCACCTCGGCATCCAAGAAACAAGCTGTACGGAATCGCCCTGCGACGTTGAGGAACTCCGTGCTGGCTACCGAGCTGGGCCCAAACGCAGTGCGCAATTACCGTCAAAGCTCCCCGCATGAACCCAAAAGCCGTCTGAAGGAGCTTTGACGGTTTGCTCATGCCCTCAAAGGGACATCGGTAATTGTGCGGGGCACTGGGGTTCTGGTCGATCACTGCTATGAAGGTCGAAGGACCTTCATTTCTAGTGTGTCTCCTGCTGATCAAAGAGTTACGTGACATGGCCGTTTCTCAGCCCCTGCACACTTTCCATGTCCTAGATCATTGCAAGTTCCAGTGATTTTGAAGCGACGTGCGTATTTTTTGCGGCGGACTGGCTGGCCCCTGTGAAATATAACACCCCCCCCCCCCCGAAATAATGAACATCTACTAGGCCAATCAAATAAATTTTGCCTGGGCAGGCCTCCGGAATTGAATTGGGTCTGGTCCTAGAAGGACAACGCGGTTTCATTAGATCCAAAGCTTGGAGTGAAGGTTTAGTTAGGGCTTCGGGCTTAGGCATAGCAAGATGAACAAATGCTCAACCAACATTTTTGTTTATGGTTCTCTATTAATCCTAAATTTTGGTTTCTAAAGCAGCAATCGTTGCCTAGATCCTACAGACCCAAGGGCACGCTGCAGTGTCTGCACTTCCCACTTCTGGCTGCTAAGCCCCAAATTTGTAATCGCAAAGCCTCAAACGTGACTGACACAACACAACCGCTGCAGGGGTGCTGGATGTGAGAAACGACCAAGTGTCAAAGGACAAGATTCTACGGTGGGACGTTCCATTTGCCCCGGCTTTGCAAGCCAAAGCCAAGGGCTTTGAGTTATAAGAGTTGCCAACTTATTGGAGCAGAGTAACCTTATTGAATCTGCGGCCTTCTGAGTCCTAAGAATGCGGAATCTCCGCAATTTCGCCTTCCTTCCGAAACTTCTCTCTGCCTGCTGGAAGATACGAATTCCAAAGACCGACCTCCCTACGGATACTTGTTTATGAGACAGCGCAGCTTCAACATCTGCTTGGAAAGTTAGCGGCAGAACCCCGCGCCCACTTGATATCCCAAACCTTAGATTTTGAACCCTGTGATTATGAACTTTCAAGTAGGGCCTAAACTATGGGCCCTTTCATGCGATGGCACCAACGCAGGGTCGCAGAGATAGGGCGCCGATGTGGAAACCATCTCAAGAATTGCCCTGAAACAACAAAAGCCCAATTCCTGACAACCAAACTCTTGCACTGAAGAACAGGGGGGTTCTGAGTACCCGCCACAATAAGATCTCTACAGCCGCCAGATTGATCGCAATACCACTCTGTCTTGTAACATACGGGGATGTGTGTGTTACGATCTTACACCGTGAGCTTGTTGGGGAAGTGGAAGTCAAAACTGCGCCAAAATGACCATTCTTGGATCGCCTCCCGTGTAGTCATCTCCAGAGATTCTACTATATCCCCGGATTAACCCCGAAAGAATCACACAGTAACATAGTAACCCCCTGACATTCTGAAAAAAAGGCCTGGGAGTCCCAACCACGTCTGCCAGCGACCTGAACAGGCCGCGCCACGTGACCCTCCGCTCAGCAAAGACCTTGCCTTGGCCCGGGCGGCTTGAGATAACAATAATACCAATAATAGTAATATGATCGCAATAGTAATAGTAATAGTACTAGTAATAGGTATAGTATCAGTAATAGTAAGAGTTATAGTAACAATAATAGTAACATGAATAACAATAGTAATGCTAATAGTAGGGTCTTAGCTGGATCCAGCTTCATGCCTGACGCAAACTTACTGATGGTCATTCATGATGAGGGGGATTGTCAAAATTATGGTCACTTTTTGGGTCCCCTAAATTGGGCCCCGTATTAGGCCCCGTATTATAGTAGGGACCCAAAAAGGGGCCATAATTTTGAGAATCCTCCATGAAGAACCTTGATATTATTACTCTGATTGGTGCAGCTGTTGTCAGCAATCTTGCTATTGTAGACGGCAAATAGAAGTCAGCTTGCTGCTAACCCGAACCCTAACCATGGGATCAGCTGAGCCCCGGGCGGCATTCCAGCACATTCGTCGAGAGAAAGGTCAAACGATGAATGAAGGGCGTTGCAACACCAGGGTGTCCCTAATTTCAGGAGCAAGGAAGACTGGAGAGAAGCACAGGTAGAACCCATCATCTTATGTCTTCAGATTAAGCTTCTGCTGATGCTGCCATGCTGCTAGGGCACGTGTTATGGGAGAGAGCCCCGCGTGTTGCAACATACCCAAATTGATCTTTCTCAGATATGGTCCCCTGATGTCACCGCAACAAATCACTTGCTGACCCCTGGTGAGAACCCCAACGGGGACCCATGGTTTTGAGAAAGACCTCTCAAATCTCAATACGAATTCTATATACAAGAGTTTACAGGGCCAGTCCTCAGGAAAGGCCGCGTCATGCATGAATCTGC